ACGCTGAGAGACTGCTACAATGTGCTTGAATTTCTTCGTTGCTTTGCATTAATAACTCGTTATCCAGTTGCAATGAACAAATCTTGCAATGAACAAATCTCGTATTCAGATTCAGCAAGATCTTTTTCTAAGGAAACAATGTGATTATCTTGATTTTGTTCTATCTCTGCTACCGGTAATTGTCCATCGTTATCAGATGTATCACCATCAAACCTCTCATCATTAGAATCCTCATCATTAAACGAATCATCGAACCACTCATGCTCCTCAAATTCATCCTCAGACTCAGATAGAGTTGATTTATCTTCATCAGGGATATCACCTAATTCACTTCCTGAATCTCTATTAGTCTCAACTCCAGCTACAATATTGTCCTCCTCAGATGACATTTCACCAAAATCAATATCGCAAATGGGAGAATCACAAACATCATTTACAACTGTGTCAGATTGTTGAGACTGATTGGTGGAAGCATTTCGAGTGACCCGATCACTACATTGCCCATTAGTCATAGGCACAGCTGCATTTCTTGCCCTTTTAACTGCTCTGTGGTACCTGTCCATGCTAGTGGCACCATGATCCTCTGTGTCGGCCCTTGCATTGTAATGAAATATTGATGGGGCATAATCTACATGCCTGGGATCATTAGAATGTTTACCTATATTAATGTCCTTTATTACAGCTCTATCATCAAATATTAGCTTCTTACCAGTTACAAAGTGCCTACTGCAGACTCGAGAATACTCTGAAGGTGACCAATTATCTCTCTTGATAGCAGCTATCCATCTCTCTCTTTTGGCAGGATCAGTGGAAAAACAAAAGAAAGATATTCCCAGTCCCTTCTTAGAGCGATTGTTGCAGTTTACAGCACAGCAATAAGGCATAACAACAAATTTTATACACTTTTACAAAGTATGGCCACTGGATTTAGGGCTCCAAAATGGCTGATTGAAATTATTATGAAATTTTTTTCGCATTAAAACAATACAGTCTAGTCATGAATATACTTAGCGCCAACTGGTCTATACGGCAATACAACAATAGCAGCACAGTGCCAATTAGCTGATGCTGTTAGTTACGGTGTACCCACAATGTCAGGTGACTGTAAAGGAAAGGTAAATAAAACTTATTACGAAAGGTTCAAGGAATTCATCAGACTGATCTAATCCCAGTGCTGGTTCTGGCAGACACTCCCATTGCATTTGCAGGCTTAACAGAGTGTTTTGAGGCTGTATTGCTCTTTCTAATTCACATAAATAAAGCTGTTGAATTTATTCCAACATGAAAAAGTATTCAAAGATGTTGCTATAAGAGTCCGTAACTTTGATGTGAGGCCCAGTGGGCAACACCCAGATGGCCTAATAGAACTACTTTGTGGATTTCCTCAACTTTTGCATGTGCTTTGAATATAAATAAGTTAAATGTTTCTTCAATTTTTGTGAGCAATTTCTTCATGAAGAGTTGCAAACATAAGTAATAAGGATATCACATAACACTGGCAGTGCATCAGTCATGTACAAATAATCGTTCTAATAAAGATTTCCAAAATCACACATTTGGAACCACCAGAAAAGGTGCTACAAGACCACTCTCAAATTTCACATTTGTAAGTTTATAGTGCTAGGATGACAAGAAATAGTCATTATCGGAAGAATTTAATACAATTTGACTTAATAGTTTTTTGTGATGTGGACGAATAGGAAATAAAGAGACACTGAGTGAATTTAGTTTAATTTAAAGAAAAGTGGGGCATCATTGCAGCAGATAATGGAAATCCTATATTACTTGAAAATCAAGAAGAGAAAAAGAAAATAGATGTCGTCTACACAATACAGTGATGTTTGTGGTGGCACTACTACTATTTTATAGTACTAAGAAATCAGTTGTTAGGCAGCCTGATGCTGTTACTCTGTGTTATTATTATATTGCTGTAAGAAAGGTGCATTATACCTTGCAGGCAACTACCAAACTGAGGCTCATCAGCAATTGTGGTTGCCTAGTAGTTTGCAGTTGACTATACATTTAAGCGTGTCCATCATTCCAAACGACATGCATGATGGTGCTACTAATACAATCAAGAATTTGATGTCTAATTCAAAATATATTTGGTCACTTAGTGTGACAAAGAGCTCTTCAGAGAATGCGCCAGGCCACAACAGAGCATGGAGTTTGGAATTTAGTTGCTACTGGGAAACTGCTGCAGTGCAAAAATAAATAATCAAAGAAAGACAAGATAGATAGTAAAGCAGAAGAAAAAAGAGAAAAAGAACAAAGTATGTGACTATAATAGTGGTCTTATGACATGTCATTAACAATGAAAAATGTAAAGTGATAGTGGGCCCTGCTGCAGAATATAATGCCATTGCTGACTATTTTTTCACCTGATATATATTTTAGTGGTTCTTGTACTGGAACTATCCTTTTCAATTGCCTCTCTTAACCAATTACACTATAATGTAGTTTTTGCTTGTCTATACACTTGATAATTTACTGGCTTTAGATTATGAAATGCATTCTCTTGGCGTTGTCCTTGGTACAACTGTCAAGTTTCCATTTCATTATAACAGTTATGATAATGACATTTCCATTTAAAAACAATAGATAAGAATAATTATGTATATACAATTGTGTTGTATTATAGGTCAATTCACTGACATGGACCAAGATAATTCAATTTCATTTTAGCAATGAATTTGCGGAATACTATCACAACACATTTCTTGATGCTATATTTATTCCAAAACTCCATATGTCTCAATCATATCTTACCATGGGCAAATACATGGCAGGTTAATTGTGGAATGATAGAAAAACAAGGTGCAGAGTCTCGTAATGCCCAGTTCAATACAGCTGAAAGGGTCTACAACAACATGAAAGACAGAGTCAAGAGACTCATTGCTCTTAGCAACATCCTTTATAGAGATTGGCCACAACTGGCTCATAATATGGGGTGAGGTTTCAACGATTCATAATTATTTGAGCTGACTATCACTGCCTGTCCTCCTCAGTCATAAAATCACCTATCAAAACAGGTGATGCAATAGGCAAAGACTTATTCAAGTTCTTGTAACTGAGTGATGAGCATGTTTAGAAATGCCTCTCTCTTATCTTTACAGCTACTCAGGTGACTGCCTTATCCCCTTCGTTGGACGGGTGGAAGGTTCCTTTTAAGTGCCTCTAAGGGCATTGTTTTGAGGTTTAGGGTGTTCTGGGCAACAACAAGCTCTGAGAACAAGTGAAAGCAAATTTAATACCTTTGTATTGGAGACAAATATGACAGCAAAGGTGGCACTACCTTTTCATTAAGCTTACATCATTGCTATTAATTTGATGAAATAGGTTAATAGGGTAAATAGGTTAATTTCTCTCCAATAGTCCTACAATACCTAGTACTGGTATTATGATTGGCTCCCAGGTAAAAAGTGAAGATGATCAAATCACAACTTAAAAACATCATTGTTGTCAAATTCCACTGTAAATCCAGTGATATCTATTGTAGAATTATTAATGAAAGGAGAAGTCAGTGCCAAAAAATTTTTGGTTATCTGAAAAGTTTACAAATACTAAATTTAAAAGAAAAGTAAAAAATAAAAACACTTGCTCTTCTTATAAGTTCAGGCCAAAACTATAATTACTAGTAAGTAACAACTGTCAATTTTTTAATGGTCCTCGAAGATTACTACAATTGGTGTTCCAACAAAAAGAAAAAAGGAATAAGGAACACAGCACTACCTGTCAATTGGATAAAACCACAAATCAAGCCCATATTCAAGAACAGAATAATTGGAATGGCTGAATTAGGTCATGGAGCTAGTTGTTTATCTGAATCAAAGATAAGGTATAAAGGGAGTATCCCTAATAAAACAATGTTCAAGTAGCAAAGAGGGCTTTCGTGACACTGGGATATTATTTGGGTGCCGATGCTCCTTGATCTTCATAGTCTTCAGCCTGTAATAATCATGTGTCTGAATCTCTGGATTCACTTTGTGTTCCACAGATAACAGATTTGTTATCTTTTACCAATGCTTTATATCCTGGAGGACTAAAAATGGTGAGGATATCTCCTTTACAGATTCATCACAGCAGCTGCCCCAGTCCCTCAAACAGCGGTGGTCCCAGTCACTCCACTGCACTGCTGTCTTGGTTCCTATGTCACTGGCAATTCTCTCCACTGCACTTGAAGAGCAAAGTCAAACAAAATTAGCAGCAGTCAGTGCGACAAAGACTCAAGTTCCTCTGTCAAACTGTGAAATAAAAAGAACCTCATTCGATGACTCACTGGAGGTCATAATCATGCCTAGTCTTTAAATTTGGCTCAGCCCTTAAATTTGAAACACCACTCAAGGATTATTACACCTTGCCAAAGCTAGAAAATAAATTTAAGTACACTGAGTTTTATAAAGGAATTTTCACTTCTATTTCATCTGGTTCTAAGTTGATCATATCAATAGCGGTGGTCCCAGTCACTCCACTGCACTGCTGTTTTGAAGAGCAAAGTCAAACGAAACTAGCAGAAGTCAGAGCAACAAAGACTCAAGTTCTTCTGTCAAAATGTGAAGTAAAGAGAAGCTCATTTGATGATTCACTGGAGGTCATTATCATTTCTAGTCCTCAAATTTGCTTAAATTTGAAACACCACACAAGGAATATTACACCTTGACAAAGCTAGAAATAAAATTTACACATACACGTATATTGAGTTTTGCAAAGGAATTTTCACTTCTATTTCATCCGGTTCTAAGTTGATCATATAAAGTTTAGGGTAAATAAGTTTTTCTTCAAAGGATGTACTTTCAACTCTGGTCCCCTAGCCATACCATACATTCCTTGTAAACAAGATTCAGTACAACTAAAGTACAATAAAGACCTGAACAAATGTTTAAATCATTTAGTTGTAAGTCAATATTCTGGAAAAGCCAATGAAAATACAAAACAAAAATGGCATCCAACAATGATAATGTGTTATGCCACAAGTCATCAAGTGCATACGACTTGTTATGGTCTAGTAGCATTATTCAGATACTATCACAATGAACATTGTGAGACTAAACAAGAAAGTGTGGTAGAATCTGAAGCGAACATTGATAATAAAATTTTTTCTAACAGGTTTCAACTTCACTAGGACAATGGTCTAACTCCTTCTCGGCACGGTAACATGTGGAATGAATGCCAGAGATATATACTAGACG